ATTTTCGTGATGTGGTGCAGCGACTTTAAGGTAACTAAGAGCAAGTGCTGTTTTCCACCACGGCTCGGATTCGGGTGTTTTAAGTTTTTCATTTTGTGTACATTTCTTTACTGTAGGTACTATGTCTACAACAGGAACATCTATATCTTCACAAATCGTCTCACTAATTTCAAAAGATCCGTCATCCTTTTGTTTAGAAACTGCATCGTTACATTTTTCTGGTGTAGTTGAATTTTGCACAGTAACTACTGCATTTCTCTTTTTATTTTTAATCACTTTCTTTGTGCAATTTTCAACTACGTAATCATCGGCACATTTTATTAATTCCTCTTCAGCATTCTTATCTCCTATTTGTTTAGTAAGATATTCACGGGCTTTATTATATTTATCTCTCCATAAACCTTCGTGATGGGGTGCAGCTTTCTTAAGGTATGCAAGATTAATTGCAGTTGCAAGACTTGGTGAGTGCTCGGGTGATTTAAGCTTGTCATTTTTAATCTTCTTTTGAATTGTTGTAATAATTTCTTCTTTTGGAGTATCCAGTTCTTTACAAACTGAATCATCCAATTCAATACAACCATCATCTTTTTGGTTCGAGATGATTTCCTTACATTTTTCAGGAGTGGCTGATTCTTCAACAATAATGAGAGCTTCCGCTTTCTCATGGTCATCATGTTTGTCTTTATCAACCAAGAAAGCATCTTCAAGATGATCACCAAGTTTAGCAGCCACCTCATAAAGACCACCGAAGAAGCTTTTGGGTTTTTCAGATTTAGGTATTTCATCTTTCTTAAGATCAATTACATCCTGTTTCTTTTCTTCAATTACTTTGTCTGTTACCTTATCAACTACGTAATCATCGGCACATTTTATTAATTCCTCTTCAGCATCTTTATCTCCAATTTGTTTAGTAAGATATTCACGAGCCTTATTATATTTATCATTCCATAAATCTCCATACTGGGATGCGGCTTTCTTAAGGTATGCAAGATTAATGGCAGTTTCAAGACTTGATTTACGCTCGGGTGTTTTAAGTTTATCATTTTTAACTTTCTTTTGAATTGTATTAATAATATTTTCTTTAGGAGTATCTAATTCGTTACACACTGAATCATCCAATTCAATACAACCATCATCTTTTTGTTTAGATACAATTTCTTTACATTTCTCGGGAGAAGCCGATTCTTGAACAAGAGGAAGTGCAGCGGCTTTCTTATGATCTTTTTCAAACTTCTTAGTGACATTATCAACTACATATTTATCAGTACAATCTATTAATTCCTTAGCATCTTTATCCCCAATTTCTTTAGAAAGATAATCGCGGGCTTTATTATATTTATCTTCCCATAGTTTTTTATGATGTGGTGCAGCGATTTTAAGGTAACTAAGAGTAAGTGCTGTTTTCCACCACGGCTCTGATTCGGGTGATTTAAGTTTCTCGTTTTGTGTACATTTCTTTACTACAGGTACTACGTCAACAGGAATTTCTATTTCTTCACAGATCGTCTCACTAAGTTCAAAAGATCCGTCATCCTTTTGTTTAGATACTATATCATTGCATTTTTCTGGTGTGGCTGAATCTCGCGCTTTACCTACTGCATTTCTCTTTTTATCTTTAATCACTTTCTTTATACTATTTTCAACTACATAATTATCCGCCAAATCTAAAAGTTCTTTTTCGGCTTTAGTATCTCCTATTTGTTTAGAAAGATATTCACGAGCTTTATTATATTTGTCTCTCCATAAACTTTCATGATCGGGTGCAGCTTTCTTGAGGTATGAAATGTTAATGGCGGTTTCAAGACTTGATTTACGCTCGGGTGTTTTAAGTTTATCATTTTTAACTTTCTTTTGAATTGTTGTAATGATTTCATCTTTAGGAGCATCTAGTTCATTACAAACCGAATCACCTAATTCAATGCAGCCATCACCTTTTTGTTTTGAAACGATTTCTTTGCATTTTTCAGGAGTGGCTGATTCTTCAACGACAATGAGAGCTTCTGCTTTTTCATGATCATCATGTTTGTCTTTATCAAATGTAAGGGCATTTTCAATTTGATCACCAAGTTTAGCGGCCGTCTCATAAAGACCACCGAAAAAGTTTTTACCTTTTTCAGTTTTTGGTATTTTATCTTTCTTATTGTCAATTACATCCCGTTTCTTTTCATCAATTACTTTGTCAGTTACTTTATCAACTACATACTCATCGGCACATTTTATTAATTCCTCTTCAGCATCTTTATCTCCAATTTGCTTAGAAAGATATTCACGGGCTTTATTATATTTGTCTTTCCAGTCACCTTCATATTTAGCTGCGGCATTTTTTAGATATGAAAGGTTAATAGCGGTTTCAAGACTTGTTGAAAATTCAGGTAATTGAAGTTTTTTGTTAGCTATCTTCTTTCTAATTGTAGTAATAATGTCTTCCTTGGGAGCATCTAATTCTTTGCACACTGAATCATCTAACTCAATACAGCCATCATCTTTTTGTTTAGATACAATTTCTTTGTGTTTCTCGGGAGAAGCTGCTTCCTGAACAATAGGAAGTGCTGCAGTCTTCTTATGATCTTTCTCAACCTTTTTAGTGACATTATCAATGACATACGCGTCGGTGCAATCTAATAATTCTTTTTCTGCTGCAGCATCTCCAATTTGTTTAGAAAGATATTCGCGAGCTTTCTCGTATTTATCTTTCCATATATTTTCGTGATGTGGTGCAGCGACTTTAAGATAACTAAGAGTAAGTGCTGTTTTCCACCACGGCTCTGATTCGGGTGATTTAAGTTTCTTATTTTGTGTACATTTCTT